ACACACACACACACACTCTCTAATGATGGCAGCAGTGTTTTGTGCTTCTGTCTGATGCTAATGGTAACTAGCTGTGTGTCCGCAGGCGGGTGGTGGCACGTAGTCCTCAACCTGGACACGACAATCGCCGTCACTCAGAACTTCGCCAGCACGACCAACTTCCCCATCGTGTGGCACAAAACGGTCCGCGGGCGACCCAAACTCTCCAGGAAGTGGTACCGGTAAGGACTCAGCGCCGCCGCCACGTCACCGAGAGATGACCACGAGACCATGAGACACACCAGAGATTAGACTCATCCCAGGATATCTGCAAGTCTCTTAAAATGCAGAACCAAAGCTGAATATCTTTAAAAAGTGAAAAGCACTCAATCACTTCTTTAATCATGTGATTAGAGATCCACTTTACATTGAACTCATTGTGGCTGTTTTCAGTGATTCACCAGGAACATCCCAGTTAAAATAATATATATATTACATAATGCATAGATGTAATCATTTAGCAGTTTTTCCTTCATTTCTGTCTCCATCTCCAACCGTGTATGAGCAGGCGTCAGCGCACTCAGAAGTAATCAGAAAGATCTAATAGATATTATTGATTAGTTGAGGTGTGTGTGTTTGTGTGTTGGCGGTCTGAGCGACCCTGACAGGATTGTTGTCCTCCGGTGGTTTCAGTGTCTTGAAGCAGGAGAGACCTGATATGGCAGCTCTGGCAGACAAAGTGGACCTTCAGGAGTCGACGGGAATCGCGTCCGACAGCTCCAGTGACTCCTCGTCATCCTCCTCCAGCTCCTCCGACTCCGACTCCGACGTACGTGCTCAAACACACACACACACACAAACACACACTCTTGCCGATAGTTTGCGTGTTTGTTTCCTCACGTTCAGACCTTGTGCTCAACCAGCTGATCAAACATCAGCCAGGTTTACCTTCACATGCAGCACCGTTTGTAACCAAAACTGCAGAAACCATCAGAAGACTGCTCCTTTAATGCTCGTCCACCACTCGTGTTAATGTTTGGAGTTGACTCATGGAGATGAGCAGCAGGTGGCGCCAGTTCTCCAGTCAGTGGTATTAAACCAGTGCAGAAGAAGAGCACACACTGCAGTCAGAGCTCAGACAAAAAAACATTAACTGTTAACTTCTCTGTTAGTTTGATGCACTTAAAGGTGTAAAGTAATATTATATATAATAGATACACTATCAGCTGTAAGACAACGTAAAGTGTTTGGTTTCATTCTGACACAGCAGATTAAAAGGTTTGGAAGTTAAATAAAGGGACATAAAGTCTGGCCTCTGTGTAACCTCGGGCTCAGTGTCAGTCTGAAGTTAGCGCTGCCAACAGGTGCCTCCATCTGTAACACAATCCACACGTAACATGTCGTAACAGCGTCTGTACACGTTGTTCCCTGCAGGCAGAGTCGGGCTCCGAGGGCGACGCCATGTCCCACCGCAGGAAGAAGAGACGGACCTGCGCCATGACGGCCAACGGGGACACCAGCAGCCAGGACGACTGCGTCAGCAAGGAGAGGAGCTCGTCGCGGTGACCTCCGGCCTCCAGAGGCGACTCCTCCGCTCGCCAACGCAGACACGACCGCTTCTAGTCTAGTTTAGGTGAAGGGACACGATGGCGGCGGCCGGCGAGGAGCGAGTCGTAGTTTGGGGAGGGGGGGGCTGCTGGAGACCTGCCACCACTGTGCTTTTCAACACCAATCAGTATGTTTGTCTGTAGCTTCTGTAGTGTGAGGACATTTTAACCAGTAACGGACTGGTGAGGGGGATTCTGGGAACCTGCTGTGGGCTTTGAAAGTCTCCGAGCTGCTTTCTGATGTGAGTTTGTGGAGAAATGGGAATATTTGTAAAAGTTGTGACACATTGAGCCACCAGAGTCTGGCCTTGTGCAGCGGTGCAGGTTTCTGTATCTGGATCAGGATCACTCGGACCTTCTAGTTTCACACACCGGTTCAGAAAGAGCAGATCGCACCAGACAGAGACAGTTTGACTCTCTGCTCTCCGTACTGGTGTCTCTGAACCCGAACCGCTG